AATTAGCAAAAATATTGCACAAATACTTTGAAATATCTCCTCCTTAGATATTCAGGCGGTTGAATCTCCTGGGGAAACCTCTAGAAGCTCAATCAGAGAGCAAAGTTTAGCTCCCCAGCAGGGTCCTAGCCCTGCTCCACTGGGAGTGACCCTGCTGGTGTTCTGCAGACAGGTATGGGAGCCTTAACCGAGCAGAGCATTTCCACTCTCACACTCCCTCTGGGAATGCTGGGGGTGGCAACAATTGCTCACTCCACACATTACAGAGCAGCTTCCCTTCCCAAACATGAAAGGCAGTGCAGGCTGGAGTAGAGGCTGTGGGAAGCACAAAGGCTCGGGATTGCTCACGCAGTGAGGACATGGATGGCACTAATGCACAGGCCTTTGCTTTCTGGTCCTGGCTGAAAACACCCCAAACCTGTATCTGCATTAAATACAGCAGCACTTGTACCACAAAGCCTCCCCCAAGCCCTGCAGTGGCTCTCTGCTCCATCTCAGGGCAGGTTCTCAGGGTTTCCCGAGCACACGTGCCTGTGAACGCTGTGCTGAGCACATCTGATGAGAATTGATGCTGAATGTACCTCCACGGACAGCTCGACACAGGAAACGCTCTACATTCCCTGGTTTTAATCACAAAGAAGCCAGGATTCCTTTTTTACATTACTCTGAAGAGATGGCATCACATCCTGCAGGAAAAGCTGTCTTTACTGATCAGCAGAGCCTTGTGTGAAATCTTGAGCAAGCCTTATCCAGACTTGCCAGGATGAATCCTGGCTGCCTTTGGTACCTAGATGATGCTGCAGTTTTTGGAATTGGTCACTTCAAACACCATCACAGAGAAAAGAAAGGTGTTGTCAGAGGACTGCTCTGAGCTGGAGTGGGCCAAGCCATCCCTTTCTGCTGATTCCAGTGTGAACACTATTCAATCAATGCCTGTAATTAGTGGGATAAATCTGGACCCTAATGCCTCTGCATTACTCAGCTATCTCAAAGGGAACTGCATAAACCTCCTGCATTCCAGCTGCGGATGTGAAGGATGAGCTGTGTGCATCTCCCCAGACACCCTGAAGGCTGACAAAGGCCTTCCCCAGGACCCTCTCAGGTCACTCCTGATGCTCTGGGGCTGCTCCAAGTGTTCCTGGACTCCTTCCAGCACCTCTGCAGGAATATGTTTATATGCCAGAAATATCGATCATCATAATCTTTATATTAAGCCGATGACCAGAGGACATTTAACCTCCAGCCAAAGCCTTCACAGGGCTTCTATATCCTGCCACCTCCTCACCTGACCCAGCCACAGGATGGGATTATTCTTATCCAGGCACAGATTCCAGGATGTGTACGAGCTGTTTGTGTGTCACGCAGAGCTGGCCTGTGTCAGCAGAATTGAGGTCATGGCTGCGTTTGCCTCAGCCCACCCCACGGCAAGGCAGCAGGATGAGACTCCCTGCCTTGGGAGCTCCATTAGGAGCCTCTTTCAAGTTTTTGCTACAGTATGAAACAAGAAGAGATGCTGGGACTTGTAGACCAAGCTGGCATCACAATGAATACATACAACCATAAAAAGATTCTGCTGAAACAATAATCAAATATGCTTAATAAAACTGTGACCAATGGATGCACTGTCTGGGCAAGAATGTGCTCACAAAGCTGGAAGGTAGAATAAGGGACAAGGAAAGTCAAGGGTGGTATTTATGCAGCATGGGGTGTCTGGCTGCCTCATGACAGGGCTGCAGCACCCACACGCAGCCCAGGATGCAGGTGTCCATGTGGGGAAGCCTTGGTAAGCAATGTCTACCTCAGATCCCCTCACACGCAGGAGCCCCTCAATGGGGCCCTCCCCTCACATCACACGGGCTGCTACAGAACTGCCACTACAGGGCTCAGAGCAGCCCCAAGCCCTCGCAGCAGCCAGAGCCTCCGAACCTCCACACTCCCCTCACAGCTGCCAGGACTCCCCTCTGCCCTCTCATGGCTCCTCATGGCTCCCCATGCCCCCACAGCCCCTCAAGCCCTCACACCTCCCTCACAGCCCCCACAGTCTCCTCACAGCTGCCAGACCCCCTGAGCCTTTAGGGGCCTCCGAGCCCTCACAGGAGCCAGGCTCCCTGAGCTCTCAGAGCCCCTGCGAGCCTCCCAAGCCCTCACACCGCCCGCCCCGGCCCCTTCCCGCCACCCGCCCGCGCTGTCGCCATGACAATTTCCGCGCGCGCGGCCCCGCCACCCTCGGGCGGGGCGGCGCGCCAGAAAGTGCTGGAACGCCGCTGCAGCCCGCGCGTGCGCGCGCGGGGTCCTTCCCCCACCCGCCGCGGCGCTGCGGCTCCGGCTGGAGCGGGACGGGGGGACGGGCAGGGATGGAAGGAGGGAGGAAGGCAGACCTGCCTGGAGGCGAGGGGCGGGGGGAAGCGCTGGGGACCCGCGGGGAACCCGCCCTGTCCCGCAGTGAGGAGGAGCCGCCGCCTCCGCTGCGCAAAGCGCGCACTCGGGTCCGTGAATGGGCGGCTGCGGCGGCCACCGCCCAGAGCCCGCTGCGGAGTCACTGCGACGGTTACCAGGGCGCTTCATTCTCCGCCAATCAAACGGCGTTAGCTCATCCCCCAGGGCCGGCAGCCAATCGGCTTCGACATCAATCATTCAATTGAGCCAATCGGGAGCGCCGTGAGAAAGCCGAGGCGGGCACTCGCGGCTCCCGGTTGCTTAACTGTAGAGCCAACAGACAGGCGGGCGGGGCGAATAGGCGCCCCTGGCTTGAGTGACAGCTGCACAGCCAATCAGATTCTCTCACTTGTAGAGCCTCGCTATAAGCATCCAATCGTTGCTGCGAGTGGCCGCCTGGGCGGGGAGAAGAGGGCTGCGCGCGCATTCCGCTGCTATATAAGGGCTGGCGGTTGCCTCACGCAGCCAGAGTCGGTTGGGGGAAGGCTGGGGTCGTAGTGAGCGCTCGGAGCCGCCGCCATCATGAGGGAGATCGTGCACCTGCAGGCCGGGCAATGCGGGAACCAGATTGGAGCCAAGGTCCGGGCGGGGAAAGAGGGCGCGGGGGCGGGAGGGGAGCGCACCCGGTCCGGCGTGGCCGCCGCTGACGCGCTTCTCTTCGGCAGTTCTGGGAGGTGATCAGCGACGAGCATGGTATCGACCCCACCGGCACTTACCACGGGGACAGCGACCTGCAGCTGGAGCGCATCAATGTCTACTACAACGAGGCCACAGGTAGGGCCCGGACCCGCTCCCCCCCACAGGCTCCCCCGGCCCCCCCGGCGCGGTAGTCACGGCTCTCCCTGTGTTGCAGGCGGCAAGTACGTGCCCCGCGCCGTGCTGGTGGACCTGGAGCCCGGCACCATGGACTCGGTGCGCTCCGGGCCCTTCGGGCAGATATTCAGGCCAGACAACTTCGTGTTCGGTGAGTGCGCGGGGGCGGGAGGAGCCGCGGGGTGGGGCGGGCAGGGCACTGCGGGGCTGCCCCGCCGCACATGCTCCGAGGGACAGGCCCGGACGGGGCTAATCCTGGTGCGGAATACCGGGATTGCGGCTGGGAGCCGCTCCGAGGTGGCACCAGAGGTCGTTGCTCTTCCGATTCTTCGTTACCGCCTCCGTGCGTGCCACTGGGAGAAATGGAGTGGCTGCTGTATCATTGATAATTAATGTTTTCCCTGTGTCTGCCGAGCCACTGCAGAGGTGCTTGTGTGAAACCACAGCCCTGTGCTCGATAAGATGAAAGCTTTCATGGAGCCTGATGCTCTTAAGCTTTGCTTGCAAGCAGGAAGCAGTGACCGTAATCTAATACGAAAATGGCTCTTTTCCAGGTCAGAGCGGAGCAGGAAACAACTGGGCAAAGGGCCATTATACAGAAGGTGCTGAATTAGTCGATTCTGTGTTAGATGTTGTAAGGAAGGAGGCAGAAAGCTGCGATTGTCTCCAGGGCTTTCAGCTTACTCACTCCCTGGGTGGTGGCACAGGCTCTGGCATGGGTACCCTTCTTATCAGCAAAATCCGTGAGGAGTACCCAGACCGAATTATGAATACTTTCAGTGTGGTGCCCTCCCCTAAAGTGTCAGATACTGTAGTCGAGCCCTACAACGCCACGCTGTCGGTGCACCAGCTGGTGGAGAACACAGACGAGACGTACTGTATCGATAACGAGGCGCTGTACGACATTTGCTTCAGAACACTGAAGTTAACAACCCCCACCTACGGTGATCTGAACCACCTCGTGTCAGCCACCATGAGCGGTGTCACCACCTGCCTGCGGTTCCCGGGCCAGCTCAACGCTGACCTGCGGAAGCTGGCAGTGAACATGGTTCCCTTCCCACGTCTGCACTTTTTCATGCCTGGTTTTGCCCCGCTCACGAGCCGTGGGAGCCAGCAGTACCGGGCTCTAACGGTGCCAGAGCTCACCCAGCAGATGTTCGATGCCAAGAACATGATGGCGGCGTGTGACCCTCGTCACGGCCGCTATCTGACCGTGGCTGCCGTCTTTAGGGGCCGCATGTCCATGAAAGAGGTGGATGAGCAAATGCTCAATGTTCAGAACAAAAATAGCAGCTATTTTGTTGAATGGATCCCTAATAACGTTAAGACGGCAGTCTGTGACATTCCACCTCGCGGCCTCAAAATGTCTGCCACCTTCATTGGCAACAGCACGGCCATCCAGGAGCTGTTCAAACGCATTTCTGAGCAGTTCACTGCGATGTTCCGCAGAAAGGCCTTCCTGCACTGGTACACGGGGGAGGGCATGGACGAGATGGAGTTCACAGAGGCTGAGAGCAACATGAACGACCTGGTCTCTGAGTACCAGCAGTACCAGGATGCCACAGCTGAGGAAGAGGGAGAGTTTGAGGAGGAGGGTGAGGAGGAAGCCGAGTGAAGCTATGCAGTGGAACACCTGTAAATTTTGTTTAAAGTTGTATGAACTCTCTCATTCAAAAATTCTGTTTGTGTTGTGTTATTATTGCTGTTTCCGACTCACTCCCAATGCTGTACAGGCACCATTAAAGCAGTTTTCACAGTGCAATTCCCCGTCTTCTCTGTTCACACCGGTATGATTCCCGCGTGGCATTGCCATAAGTGAGCCCGCACAGATCCCGCAGGCCTGGAGGAGAAAGACAATGGGCTTGGCACCAGCACTGCCACCTTATCCATGGCCAACCACCCTTCTCCTGTCCTCAGCCTGGTGACACCTCTTGTGTCACTGGCATAGTGGCAGTCCTGCTCCTGCTGGTTTGGGGATTGCAGACATTCCCTGGTGTTCTCTTACAATCAGGTACGGCTGGAGGGGGGCACATTTAACAGGGAGGGTGGAATTAACTCCAAGCTGTGTCTAAATTTAGGTGCCTGCCTGTGGCCCCTTGCAGCCTGGCCTGGCAGGAGCTGAGCAGAGGCCACAGGAGCTTTGAGCTGCCTGGGCACAAAATGGTGCCACAGAGCTGCCACCCAGCACTGGGTGTTCCTGCAGCAGCTGAGCTGCTCCCCTGCAGCTCCTCAGCACTACAAACCCAGCAGGGAGCCCTGGCCTGGCCCAGGGGTGACGAGTGACACCAAAGCTGTCCCATGCATGCAGCCCTTCTGCAGTGATTTCAAAAATCACAGTAGAGGTTTTGATAATCGGGTGTTGGTGCAGCCTCAGCTTTTGGGGTGAGCTGAACACCTGACAGGTGTCTGGAACTGGTTTGTCTCATGAGAACTCTTTAACAGCAGGTTTTTACAATGCAACCAGTTCATATGTTTGTGTCACTTGAAGTGACAAAGCTGTCACCGAGGAGCTGGACAGGAAGAGCAGGCTCCTCTCCTGCTGAAGAAATTCTGTTCAGCGTTTTAAATTATAACTGCTTTTATTTAAAGGTTTTCTGCCTTAATTAATTTTCTGCATCCAGAGCCGGACTGGTTGGAGCAGTTAAAACTGTGCTGACTGGTGGCTCCAGAGGCAGGGAAGTGGGAATGTGCAGGAACAGGGCCCGGTGTCAGACCTGCACTCAGCATTCTCCTCTGGGCTCAACCTCGCCATCAGCCCAAACCCAGCCCTTCCAGGAGAGTTGTTTTCCCACTCTGCTTTCAATCCTGACATATTTTATATCCCATTTTCCCCCTCTGCACTGCAGCAAGGACGAGCAATGAGTTCAGTTCTTCCCAGCTGAGCTCCATGATTTCCCACCCACATTACTGAGCTGACACCAAACACAGCAATACATTAGCTGCTGATTTGTGGAGATTTTTTAGCCTGGTACATTAATGCTTTCAGGTGCATGGACACACCTTCCCCTTACACACAAAATTCCTCCAACCCTTCCTTTTAGGCAGCCCAAGACATCACAGGGCTCAGGCAGGGACCTGTCCTGATGGCAAATACTGTTTCTCTACACTTTGTGCTTTCTCAACACCTTCATACAATTTACCTTTTCCTTTTTATCAGACTTGAAGCTTTCCACAACAAATCCCTTTCCTGACATGTGACAGGTGGGATGTCACTGAGCCTTCCCCCGCCTCAGTAGGGGATGGTGGCTGGAAATGTGAAGCCTGGGAGAGGCTGGCAGTGGGAATGCTGGGTTCTCCTGCAGCCAGGACATGGCAGAGTTCCAGCACCTCAGCACAGACCAGAAGAAAACCTACTACTCATGTGGGACATCTCAGTGATTGCTCACTTCTCTGCCACTCCAGCCAGCAACAGCACTCCTTAACCCCGTAATTAGTATTAGTGACTTTCGTTTTCACTCAGCTGATGAACTTACATGGTACAAAGCCTGCATAGGCAGGTTTGAGTCCAGCACGGTTGTAAATTTTGGTGTCCGGCCAGTGTGTCAGGGGGAATCTCGTGCCCAATGTATAAGGTGGATTTCTCTGCAAAAGCTGGAAAACAAAACAAAAAGAACCCCACAACAACATGGAACAGTTTATTCCAAAACATGCTATTTTTACCAAAGTCATGTGCTTTGACTTTGCATTATATAAAATATCTAAGCCAACATAAAGCAATTCTCCTTCCAGTCCTGCTTTCTTCTAATTAAGAGCTACATTGCATTGTCCCTTTTTCCACTTCATAATTTTTTTTCCTGGCAGGTGTTGGCAGCAGTCCCTGCCAGCTCATCCCCCATGTCCACAGCATGGCCCAGGTGCTGTCCTTGGGATCCCTGTGGACCAGGCTGCAGATTTATTCCCTTGGGGATCATCCCCAAGTCCCAAAGGCCTCGTGTTCCTGCTCTGCTGTCCCTGGAGCTGGGCCTGTTCCTGTGCTGTGGCTGTGTCTGGGTTTGAGTCCCTTTGTGTTTCCATGAGTCCCATGAACAGGAATAGCCTGGAATGCCCAGGCCAGGAGGAGCAGGAAGGAGGCCGGACACAGGCGAGGGGCTGGGCAGCAGGGTGGGTGTCACAGCTGGGTGTCACAGCTCTGCAGCCACAGAACCCCCAGAGGTGTCCCTGGAGCTGTGCTGGCATGCAGGGAGGGGATGTGGGTCCCAGAGCCCAGCACACCACGGAGCCCTGGGTGCCTGGGATGGAGCCCAGGCTGCGGCTCCTCGAGAGGATTTTTGCTGTGTCTGCTGCAGGAAGTGAGCAGTGATCCATAGCACATCTGTAACCGAGGACAACAAAGATTTAGGGCAGGAGATTAGTGGCTTGAAGTCAGAAGCCATCTTAGCTAGAGATGTGCTGTGATTCTCCTTTCAGCGTGTCTGCTCCTCCGCCGCTGCCGAGCCCTGCCAGCCCGGATTCCGCCGACACCTCCCTGGCTGATTCACGGCATGGCAGGCGTGTCTCAAGGCATCAGGGGCAGGACGGCTTGGCAAACAGCACATCCAGGGAGAAATGCCCGCATTTTGTTCTGTTTGTTCCATTTCAATTCCTAATCACGGCAGCAGGGAAGGAGGCAGAAGCCAGCACCGGGAAATACATTTCATCCAGAGCACGACACTGCCCTGCTGCTCTCCCCGCTGCCTCATTTCTGCCCAGCTGATTCCTCTGAGCTGGGCATCCTCACTCTTGGGTGTTTTTCCTGCATCAGCCCCATATGCCCGGGGGTGAAGGCACGGCAGTGTGTCCCGGGGAGCAGGAAGGGCTGGGATGTCTCAGCCTGTATTTAATGCGCTGATCCGCTGGACCAGCGAGGCTGCTGCATCCCAGGGACCTCCCCACATCCCGGGGACCTCCCTGCATCCCGGGGATCTCCCTGCACCCCGGGGCTCTCCCCACATCCCGGGGACCTCCCCGCATCCCAGAGATCTCCCTGCATCCCAGGGAATGTCCCTGCATCCCAGAGATTTCACGTCATCCTGGGCAAGGAGAGAATGTGTAGCTCTGAATGCAAACTATCAATTGCTGCAGGAGGGATCTCCTTTTCCCGTGCCAGAGGATTATGTGTCATTGTATGGGAGCTCTCACAGCAAGGGGACTGCAGTTTTTCGAGAGGGATATTTCTGCATCCTCCCCAAAAGGAGGAGAAAGAAGGTCGAGATCCCTTTAAGACAAATCGTGTTAGGAAAGGAAAAAGCCTTACAACCAATTAAAAGACATATCACAGGAAGCCACCATCACTGCCAACCAGACAGAGGAGATGTATTCTATAAGGGAAGTGCAGATAGTTGCATCCTGTATTTCTGCACCCAGAGCAACATTTTTAACAGCCACTCTTGACCCAGCCCTCAACAGATTTCCTTAATCCTTTTATGAACTCATTTATCCTCCTTTAATGTCCCAAGGAAACAAGTTACAGAATTTAATTGCTGGTGGTTTTTTCAACATTACTTAACAGTGTTTGATTTTGCTTGCACTTGTACCCCAGTTCTAATCCTACTACTGAAAATTGAGGTGGATCAGCATGAGCATTATGCACATTCTTATTTCAGTAATCTATAATCTACCTGGTATCGGTCAAATTCCTCCATGGCTTTCTTCACAGCTGGGATGTAGGTCATGCCGACTTTGTCAAAGAGGTAGGGGATAAATCCAGCATACCCTTGGGGTGGAGGCAAAAGAGAATATTTCCTGCTTGAGAACATACAATGATCATTTAAAGATCAACCATTCTGAGAGTGGAGGAGCCTGGGATGAATATAAAATCTTAAAGTAAAGAAAGGAAAAATTAATCTGTTTAAATTGTAAAATTAACTCTTACATGTGAGGTATCTTCTCTGAAAGAGGTTTTTCTCCTTATGATTCCCAAGGGAAACACAATGGCCTGAACTTATTTTTGTTGGTCTGCATATGGTATGGAAGAACCATTACATTTTCTTAGTCCTTTTTTTTACATTTACAGCTCTTTCATGTTTTCTCCTAATTTAATACACGTTCAGGGGCTAACAACGGGATCTCCAACCTTTTTTCCTCATCTCCTCTGCCCATCCCACAACAGAAACTTTATAAAAAGTCTAAAAGTACATAAAACCTAGTGAGGTAGAACCTAAAAGCAGCCCAAACTGCCTCTTTCCAAAGGAATGCTTTGGAGAGAGAAATTTGTCTTCTGCACCCTAAAGCACGGACACTCTCTCATTTTAACTGAAATATTGTGATCCCTGTATTCCCATGATCCAGTGCAGAGTGAAGGATCCCACCCTGGATCCTTGGAGTCAGATCTTTGAGGGGAGAGCTCAGCCCATCACCCATTGTAGCTTTGCTGCTGCACAGAAATGTCTCCCAGAGCAAGGGGAAGTTACAGAGCACCCCTTGGAGGAGAGAGTTTAATGCCTTTATGATGGTGCCATACACCCCTGTGTGTGGATTTGGTGATTCAGGAAAGCATCTGGTTTCTAGGAGATAAATAACCACCCCAAGAGCGTGGGGCAGAGCCCAAGGACCAGCTCTCCTCACCCTCTGGAGCTTGGCCCCACAGCTGCAGGGAACTGAGGAGGTTCCTGAATCCCTTCCACTGCCCACGGGCACAGTGACATCCACAGGGTGACAGCACCCCAAAGAAACGCCCTTGAGGGGAGAGCAGCAGGGATATTTTCCACCCCAAACAAGCTGGAGCCGCTGGGTAACACCAGTGAGGTTTCCCCGTGGGGGAGAAGGGTCCCATCATTTCCTCAGAGGTGGCCTCGTGCTGCACGTGTCCTCCCTGTGTTTTACCTGAGATGACTTTCTGCCGGATGGCATTTGGGACAGGCAGCACTGGCAATGTGTCATCTGCTGTTACATCCCCTCTTGGCAGTGCCACACCTCCGGTTTCTAGCTGTTTAAGATAAAAAGAGAAATAAAATAAAATAAAATAATACACGAGTAAAACTCACTTCTTTCCCAGCTCCACTGCTTAAACTGCCAGGACCTGGGAATAACAACTGCCATTTCCAGTTCTTCCCAGCTTGACACTGAGAGCTACCCCAAGGATTCCTGGGAAAGTCAAATTACAAGACAAGCCAGTAGCAGACCTAGAAGGGGTTTGCAAAATCGCCATGGAGAGCAAGGGGAGCTTTGGGTACTGAGCTCCTGTGCAAATCTGTTTCTGAGGGCAAGGAGCAGGAATGGCCCTTCTTGGGATTTACATCCAAGCCAGCTTTTGACTCCGTGCGTCAAACCTCTAATCTCTGCCTTCAGAGGATTTGCAGAGCCGTGGCTGCAGGAACGTGACAAAGGCTGTTGCTGGCTCCAGAGGAAATAAAAGGGTTTTTAAAAGACAATAAATATAATAATAAAAAAATTTAAAAACTATGAAACATGTTGGTCTGAAGGGATATTTGGCTGTGCTGTGCTCAACAGCCCCCAGCTCCACAGGCAAATCCCAGTACTGGTGTTCAAAGGGAGGTAATGATGGTGGGAAATTCAGGTGGGGGCAGATACAGGGTCAGAAACCCAACCAAAGATGCTGGGAGTGCTCTCTTTTTGAGAGGAGGAAGAAGAGGAGGAGGAAGGCAACATCAGGGCTCCAAGAATACCCTAAGGAATCACAAGGCTGCCCAGCACAGCATAACAAGACTTTAGGCACTGGGATTGAAGCCAAACCCACCCAAATGAGAAATTCAGCCTTTTTGATTGGGAAGTGTAATTAATGATCAAAACCATTTCCTGAAGATGGAGTAGATTTGCTGCTGCTGGAAACATTTGTGTGTTTGATCTTTCTCTACATGAACTCTTAAGGGCAACAAGGCTGGTGAGGGACTCAGAACACAAACCCTGTGAGAGATCTGGGGTTGTTTATCCTGGAGAAAAGGAGACTCAGGGGTGACCTTATCAACTCTACAGCTCCCTGAAAGGTGGCTGTGCTCAGGTGGGCTTGGTCCCTTTCTCCAGGCAGCACTGACAGAACCAGAGGACACAGTCTCAACCTGTGCCAAGGGAAAATTAGGTTGGATTATTAGGAAAAAGTTTTTCATGGAAAGAGTGATCAAGTACTGGAATGGTCTGCCCGGGGAGGTGATGGAGTCACCACCCCTGGATGTGTTTAATAAAAGACTGGATGTGGCACTCAGTGCCATGGGTTAGTTGAGGTGTTGGGGCATGGGTTGGACTCGATGATCTTGAAGATCTCTTCCAGCCCAGTGATTCTGTGATTTCTATGAATTAACTTTGTGCTCTTGCCACTCACACCCGTGTGAAATTCCCCCCTCACACCCACCACCCCCAATCCCTCAGCCAGGGCCATACTCACCGTTTTGCTCCCTCCACAGTTACACTGGCACGTTCTAGTCCCTTTGCCCAGCAGACCAGCCAGGGGTGATGTGACCACCTCCCTGTGCCTCTCCTCAGCTGCAGGGTGCAGGGAGAGCCCCTGCAGCAGCTCCTGGGGCTGCCAGGGCTGCAGGGCACCGGGCACGGTGGGGTCTGGGGGGCACTGCCAGTGCCTGGGCTCCATGTGGGTCATCATGGGCTCCTCCAGCACCGGCGTGGGGACAGGCTGTGGGCCCAGAGGTATCTCAGGAGGGCTTATGATGGGCTGGTAGGTGACATATCCTGAAGGACAGACACTGAGTTAGGGGATAGGCATGGCCCAAAGAGGATGAGGGATTCCCATTATCCCCCATACCCCTTGGGGGACTGGGAAGGAGCCTGGAGGTCAATGGTGCAGAATGAGAATGGCTCGAGTTGGAAGAGACCACAAGGATCTGCTCCATGCACATCCCATGGCTGTGGCATCAGCCCCATCAACAAACCAGCCTGCACAGAAAACCAGCACAAATCTGAGTTAAATAACATTTATTCCAACTAAACGGTAAAATTTCACCAGCCAAGTTAAAAAGCGGTAAAGGGAGAAAAACTCAATCCTTAACTCCACGTGGCTGTGTCAGCTCACCCCAAACAGAGCCCCCTTCCAAGGAATTCTTGCTCTGGCACCGTTGCTGCTCATTGAGGAAAGGATTTGCTGTAACACTGGCTGGAAAAAAATTATCTTACATCCAGCAAATCTCCACTGTGAATGAGGGACAGAGCCCTGTGATTTGAGATTCTGCAGGGACAGCTGAGTTTGGCAACTTTTGTCTGATTTCCCCTTAAAAATCCCCCATGACGTGGCTCCCCAGGTGCCCCAGCCCCGTGTAAAGCCCATTTTTCCCCTCCTCTGTAGTTCCAGAGGAGGATCACTCTTCCACCCCACAGCCACCTTTTCCTTCTTGGAAAACTGTTACTATGTCAGCCTGGTCTTTAAAAACAAACCAAATTCCTTCCATTTTTGTGCTCACAGGTCATTTTTTTCCCAGTCATTATAGCCTTCCTCTGAGCTCCCCTTGGGAGCACATCTGCATCCCAGGGCTGAGCTCTGGGAATGAGGCACCATCCTCTGCAGAGGCTCCATCTGCAGACAGCCCGTTCATCTGCAGTGCTGGATTAGTGCTGGACTCAATCTTAGAGGTTTTTTCCAAGCTGAATGATTCCATGATTTCTGGAAATCTGCAGAAATCAGCAAAATCTGCCCTGGTTTTGCACGAGTACAAACTCCTGGTGGGCATTTAGGTGTGCAATCTGCCCATAATTACATAATAATGTGTATACATTCTCTATACAACTTTGTGAAATATATATAATATACTCTCTGCAACTCAATTATCAAGTGTCCAGGCTGGCAGCAAAGTAAAGAAAAATCCCTGATTAAAATGATTTTTCAACCCAATGTGCAAATTTTAAAGCAGGTTTATTTTTTACTTCATTACTAATAAGAATGTTGAATCTACTCTCTCACATAAACCAAAGGAAAAGGAAACTTAGGGTGTTCTGTATTTGGGAAATCCATGTGAGCTCCTTTTTATGACCCTGGGGTTTGCAAACTGATTGATTCTGAAAGCTGCATAGTGAGGCACGAAATGTAAAGCCAGGAGAGCTCAGTGCTTTTGATTTGAGTAAATATCCACATTTTCAGGTCAGGCTCCTGGGGAACGGCTGCCTGCACACTTGGCCTGTGCCACAACCAGTTCCAGCATGGATGGTGGATGATTCAGCACATCCCTGGCTGATCTCATGGGATCACAGAATCTCCTGAGCTGGAGGGACCCACCAGGATCCCCCAGGGCAGCCCCTGTCCCTGCCCAGACCCCCCAACAATCCCAGCCTGTCCATCCCTGGCAGCGCTGTTCCAAACGCTCCTGGAGCTCTGGCAGCCTCGGGGCCGTGCCCATTCCCTGGGGAGCCTGGGCAGTGCCCAGCACCCTCTGGGGGAAGAACCTTGC